TCGGTGAGCCAGTTTCCGGCATCGGCGCCGGCGTCAGCAGCCCCCTCCCCTCCCGCAACTACTAGGGCTCATAATAAGGCGAGTTACTGCGGGGAGCAGCGGACAAGCGACAGGGAAGGACGGGCCGGCCGCCGACGCGCCGCACGCGTGCCTATGACGCGCACAGTTTCCGAGTGGTGCGGACGGAGTGGCAATCATGTGTGTGTCGCTGCGCCCGACCGCACAATATGTGGAGTTAATTTAGCCTTTTCGCACCTGAACTCGACGCGCACTCGACCATGTTTCGAGCAGGGGCCACATCCGACTTCATGGAATACGAAAACTATCGCAAACCGGGGCTCATACTGGTGGATCCACTTTTATTGAAAAGTATACTTTAAAGTGTCTTTTAAGTGTCGATATTTCCATGCGGGGAAAAGTGTTTCCGACATGGACTCGGAGGGGGGGGGGGGATTTTGGATGAGAAATGGTCTCCCTTTACGATTGGCAGATTCCGCAGATTGGCACGAAAAGCAGATTGGTTGGAATGGTTAACACAGGGGAACGGGGTTTACGCCTTTTCAACTGGAAAGGTGTAAAGGTGCCGACATACCCGCCCTGCCCGCGTCCGTTCTTAATTCTGTCACTTTTTTACGGTTCTTTTACCTTGGAGTGGAAGAGCCCCAAGTGATGTGGCTCGCTCATAACCGAGCTCATAACCGAACAACCGAGAAGACTGCGAAGAATGGCGAGTCCAGTGTGTGTGTGTGTAGGGGGGAGGGGGGCTCCTTGTCCTACCCAGCAGGGACCTGGGTAGGGCGGAAACTACCCGGGCACCTCTCTCTGCGCTCATGAAAACAGCACCCCCCCCCCCCCGGCGTGCAGCGAGGTGCCCGCTGTGCGTCTCTCTCATACCAACGCGTTTAGCCACCTCTGCCCGGAGGTGCCCGTCGTTTGGCGGCATTTGGCGGGCTGTTGCGGTGGCAGCTTGTGGCAGCGCTTGGAACGCACGGGCTCCGCGCCGGCGGAATCCGAGCGCTCGCTGAGAAGGTGCCTACTGCCGCCCGCCATCCGCAGGTCCCTGCAACCCAGCCAGCACGAAAAAGGCCCCCTAAAATAGAGAACGAGAACGAGGGCCCGCACATCATCTGCTCGACCCCTCAGAGAGACAAACGGATCAATGGGTTCTCGACCATCAGCGGGCGGCTGCATCATATCGACACATCACTCACTCAGCACTCGAGTGCCATGGATCCTTCCTTGTAAAAGATTCGGGGCAGTCGTTGTCATCTGTTGACCCAGGACGACCCCCCTCCGCGCAGTGCTGATTTTTATTGCAACTCGTAATCGGAGGAGGGGGGGGGGTGTGGTCGTCGGCCGCCCCACTCGTAAGGCCGACAGTCATTTCCTTGTCACACAGCGACGCGCGTAAACCGATGTCCCCTCTACTTAAAGACCGGGGGGGGGGGGGGGTAGTGAATATTTAATTAACTCCTCGAGCTTTGGCGTGCGAGTGTGTGCGAGTGTGTGTTTGTTGCACTCTTGCCAATAACCGCGACCCCGGCCTCGGCAGTTTGCTCCGGGTCGTAAACGAAAACACGGTCCAGGATCCCGGCGGAGCAGGCGGCCGCGGTATCGACTCCATAACGCCGCCCTCAAGGACCCCCAAGGACCCCGGCGGCGGCGCAGCTCCCGGTGCGGGGTCGTCGTTGTGCACCAGGACGGGCACCCCGCCGCTCTCGCGAGTAGCGGCCCCCGCTCTGTTCCGCTGAACTGCAGAGCCCCCACGACGTGATAAGGTTCTGCGAGGGGCGGCGTGCCAAAACCTCGCCAAAAAGCGACCTCGCGGCCGGTCCTTGCCGCGAACGCGAAGCAGCCCACCGCGTACCCGCGCGACACTCGTCTGGAATTGTTAACGCCTAGGAAATTTTTAGCAGGGTCATTCTAGCCGTCGCGGATTTATTATACGTGCACTTTCTTGTTTTGTTTTTGGCAAGCTTGTGAGTGCGCATTGTCGTGCGGACAAGGTCCCGTCGTTGATCTGGAATCGGTTCATTCGCTCCAATTCGCTCCCTCTCATCTTATCTTGACATGAAACAATCACAAGACTTATCGGGAGGTGTGTCGAGGGTAGTGGTGATGTGATGAGAGAGAGGGAGAGGGGGGGGAGGGGGGCTGCTGGAGGGTCGGCCTTGTGGCGACTGAGTCCACCTACCCACCCCCCATCCCCACGCTTGGGGTGTGTCCCTGCCACAATATCACAAACACGATATCGAGATAGAGCACACAAACAAGTGTGTGTATGATATGATGGGTCACCCCCCCCCCCAACCCCCACCCCAACTCAACGTTGATGACGAGGACGGATACAGTGGTCATCGCGTTCGAAACTGTGCTCTGAGTAAACTTGCTGTTAGGACCCACGAGTATGCCAATTACTTGATGGCGTCTGGGGCTGACAAACGGACGTGATGCAATAACAGACTTTCGGTTTCAGATCTCTGATGCCTAAAAAGTGGTTCGGAAATTGACGAAACTTGCCATTGTTTTACATCGAAATTGTGAATATTTTTGTTGTAGGAAATCTGAAAACCTGCTCGACTTTTTATATGGGTGTGCACTTGCGTCGCATATATCTAGCCGTGTGTATTTCTCAGTGGTTCGTTACGGTTCGTCATCACATCGTCTTCGCCGAACTCTTATGATTAGTAAACAAAGCGACACGTTGCGCGATGCGTTTCACACCGTTTTCGGATTGCAGATAATTGCAACATGACAGATATCGCTAGGACCGCACCCGTGCCTCGGGCGCCAGCGCTGCACCTTCTGTCTGTTCGAGTGCCAACTTCAACAACTTGATGTTACATCTGAAAACTCGACCAGTTTTTCGATCAACTTATCATTTCTCGCCCCTTCCCACCTTTCCATCAGTTATTATCACTTAAATACAATAATGCCAAACACTTCCGATCACCTCCGATCACGTCCCGATCATTCGACTACATTCCCGATCACCTTTCCGATCACCTTTCCGATCACCTTTCCGATCACTTGTCAACACCGTAGGTATCGTCCAGAAAGTGAGTCCGTATTTCTCAGATTCATTAGGTGCCTGCGAAACGCGGGGTAGGCCGACCCGCAGTACTCGCGTGCATTCCAGACGATATTGCCCACGTACCAGGCGCTACGAGAGCTTGCGATAGGCTGAACCAGCTGAACTCGACAGGTTTCGTGACGGATAATGACGCGGACGTACTTTCTGGATGATCCCATACGTACTACCCTCCCATATCTCCGTTATGAACAATCAGATCATTTTCGATCAATGGTCGATCATTTTCGATCAATATGGTGGATCATTTTTAATGGTCGATCATTTTCGATCGTCGATCATTTTTTCGACCAATTGTCGATCATTTCCGATCCCACCCGATCATCTCTCATCACTTTCCGGTAGCATCGATCACTTGCCTCCAGTCATCAACCAGATTTGCTTGCCAATCATCGGTGAGCGAGCACCCTGATCGAAGTTTGCCCTGCCCTGCGGCGCACCTGCTGCGCCCAGCCCTGCGCACGTGCGTCATGGGCCGGCTGGCTATTGCCGATGCGTTTGGCGCATCACCGCGCGCCCTACTCATGCACCCACCGCTCGAGTGCGGGTTATGTGATGATTTGTCATCGCCCCTTTTCCTCGGAATAGTGCGTCGTGGGCTGTGATTGTACACAACTCCATGCGTTCGTATCCGCACCTTATCATGGTCCAATGAGGAATTTGCCCCGTGACTGTGACGTCAAATTGGTCCCTCATTTTCTCATCGTGACCAAGATTTGACTTAGAGCGTCAGATTGAATGACAGGGGCGGCCCACGTTTGACAGGGAAAGGGGAGGCTCGGGGGAGGCTGTAGTTTTCTCACATACGCCCCCTACCCCACACCCCTGCGATGAGTTAGGATGTCAAAATGACATGACATTTCGACGTCCACGGTGCGCCAGCCATGGCTTCAATGCCTCCTTGGTTTGGGTAGGTATCTCATAAGTTGGTGACTCGGGGCGATCACCCATTCAAAAGAGAAGATTGGAGGATCGGTCCCGGTGCCCAAATAGGCCTACTTTGGCACCTGGCGTGTGAGAACGGATTACTCCTATCATTTATCAGCTCACATCTTTTTTTCGTTGTGTCATTATACGCCTTGCACAAACAAATTAATGGTTTTGGTATTACTTCACTACGCCACGCCAGCTGCCGAGGCTTTAGAGTACTTATTGACGCTGGTATAAATTGTGATCAAAAACCTCGCCGGATGCATAGGCACCCTAGGAAAACGTGGTTCTCACGAAACCTCACTGCTGATCCCACAAGTGCAAGAATCGTGACCTAAGTGACAATGAGGTCTTTGTGAGAAAAAAACGTTTTCCTTGGGCAAGTGCGGATCCAGAAACCTGTTCTTATTATGCATGTTGTTCGAAAGTAGTGGTTTCTGCCCACCTACAGGCGAAAAGATGTGCCCTGTGCTTTCCCCCCACGGAAAATGCGGGGGAAGGGGGAGGGGACGACACAAAGTCGATTTAAAGCGAAATCGACCGCCCTGGGAAACCAAAAATTTCTATACTTGTCCAAAAAAACAAAAAAAAAACAAAAAAACAGAAGCAGCAGCATCAACAGCAGCAACACCACCGTTCCAATCAGTAAAAAGAAATCAATTTTCTGTTGAAACGAGCAGGGCGTGTCCTAATCGAACTAATGGTGGTGATGGTGGAGAACCAAAAAAAAACTTATCAATTGTATCATCCGATATCCCTATCAGCTGTTATCTCCAACCACGGCACAGGAATTCTCAAGAGCTTGTCGGCGAATCTTCGGTCCTCTAACTCCTTCTAAAATAATGAATTTTGAAATGGTCTTTCCCTGGTGTGGTGCTAGAGTTCGTGGAGTAGCGACAGTGCTTGCGAGTATATGAGGACGCGTCCGATAGATGGCGCTACCGCCTTCGCCTTCATCCTCAGCCCTTTCCCGTTGCCCCCTCCTCCTCCCCCCCCCCCTTTCCCCACTGGCTGTTTCTGTTTTCTGATCTCTACACGGTCATCGGTGTTTCGTGGTTTTTGTCCAACTGTTCGTGATTTGTGCATTTTCCTGTTTGTTTTAACGTCTTGAACTGAAAAGTCACCTGTTCCATCAAAATGTTCCCTACTGGCAGGAAAGAATCTCCTCATATTATGCAGGTAAGGTCGGCTTTTAGACGCTGTCCTCTTAACCTAATAAACTGTTTATTAGTTATTTGTTTCCATTTTATTTTTGGAATGTTACTTCTGATACGTCTGGTAAAAATCAAAATGATTACAGTATTTTTAATTTCTCTGAATCGAAAAGATAATTTAAATTTATAGAGTATAATCTATACTTACCCTCTTTACACTGAAGAGGTTAAGAATAGGCTTTTTCAGTGTACTTTTTAGAAACAAAATTCTATTCTCTTTCTAAACAGTAATTTTAATCAGGCCTGTCTACAAAGTACTTTTGATCTTACTAATTTCTTGACTTCTTTTAAGTACATTAGTTTTGTTTACATTCTTTAAACTCTTCTCTATTTTTCACAGCGACTTATCAATACCCAACAAAGCCCTGCCACTTTGCCTCAAACTGTAGACCGAGAAAAGGTGTACCAATGGATTGTTGAACTATCCAATCCAGAGACGAGAGAAAATGCACTCCTTGAACTAAGGTAATGTTGTTTATATGATCAAGTTTTAATTTTGAAATCTCAATGTTCAGACCACCTGCACCCTTTGCGTTAGTAGAAAATGTCAGGAAATCAGAACCAGAGCCACATATGAAAATTGCACTATTTCACATTTTAATGCAGTATAGCTATCACAGAAAACCTCTCTGATAAAATGCAAAGTTGCCTTTTCTGCTGAGATTTTGGTACTAGTTTAGAACTTGATTCAATATTTTATTTGTTTTTCAAATGTGAAGTGTGCTTGTGGTCTGTTTAGAGCTGGAGATTGTTTATTTGGCTTAGTAAGTTTGTCTGTGAAAATCGGTTTACCTATATTTTATTATTTATCCTTGTAGCAAAAAACGCGAAACCGTACCAGATCTTGCACCGATGCTGTGGCACTCATTTGGAACCACAGCTGCTCTTCTTCAAGAAATTGTGAACATCTATCCAGCAATGAATCCAGCAACGCTAAGTGCTCATCAGTCGAATCGAGTGTGCAATGCTCTTGCGTTACTGCAATGTGTTGCATCTCATCCTGAAACACGCTCTACTTTTCTTCAAGCTCATGTTCCCCTGTTTTTATACCCATTCTTACATACTGTCAGCAAAACTAGACCATTCGAATATTTACGTCTCACAAGCCTGGGTGTTATTGGTGCTCTTGTTAAGGTACAAATTTAATTTTTTTATCTCTTGCATATTGCAGTTTTGAAAAAAATCATTTTTAAGACGATTTTACATGCTTATTTATTTGATAATGTACCACATTGAACCATTTTTATTTTTTTTTAATTTTTATAGACAGATGAGCAGGAAGTCATCACTTTCTTATTGACAACTGAAATTATTCCACTTTGCCTCCGCATCATGGAGAGCGGATCTGAGCTTAGTAAAACAGTTGCTACATTCATTCTCCAGAAAATTCTCTTGGATGATTCTGGATTGTCTTATATCTGCCAAACCTATGATCGCTTTTCCCACGTTGCTATGATTTTGGTAAGGTTTATTTTATAGAATTTAATATTTTGCTCTCTGTGTAAACAAATTAAGTAAAAATTAATTAACATTGAGCTCATTTTGATTTTGCCATTTCCAGGGCAAAATGGTGCTCTCACTTGCTAAGGAGCCCTCTGCACGACTCTTAAAGCATGTTGTTCGCTGCTACTTGCGTTTGTCTGACAATCCAAGGTTAGTGAAATATTATTATATCTTATTATTAGATAAGGAAAAGCATTTTTACAATTGTATTTTTTAACGTGAGTGTTTCTCTTTCACTCTAGAGCAAGAGAGGCTTTGAGACAATGCCTTCCAGATCAACTTCGTGATTCTACGTTTGCCGGATGTCTTCAGGATGACAAATCCACAAAACACTGGTTAACACAGCTATTGAAAAACCTGGAAACTGGAGGAGATCCTCGCTCTGTAACTATTTCTCCTTTGGCACCCCAGTGACGATACTAGCTACTGGCAGTAATGGTAAAGTGAAAGTGAGAGATTCTTCTTTTCTTGATCTTGCCTGTCTTAGGCACTAATCTGTGATTTCTGTGATCATGAATTATAATTTCCGTACCCTTGTTTATCTCATGTATTTGATCAAGAAAAGAAAAGTTTCAAGTGATAAAATGTACAAAAAGAGCTCTTGATGACTGTGTATGCCAAGTTGAACATAGTGACTTTGCACATTGCACATATTTGTCATAAGAACAAGTCTTTCCTTCCCATTTGGAGTGCAGCTGTTGACTGTCTTCATCATTAGCATGCACATAGGTAAAACCAGCTAAGAGAGTTTATCAAGTTAAATTTAGTACGTTGTTTCATATCAACTTGTTTTGTCCGTATTTTCTCTGTGTTAAACTTAACTGAAGTATGTATCATGAGTAAATACCAAGTCAGGAGAATCTGATCTAAAGATTTGAACTCCGGTCATCCTGGTCGTAGACCCATTCAAGCTGAGTCATTTTGAATGGTCAAAAAGTATAATATTTTTTAGAGATTTCATAAGAATTATTTCTGTATTATTATCATTTATTCAGAAGAAATGTTTTGGTTCTGTTACTTAGTGCTCTGTGATTATCTGGTCATGATGAGTTTCTCCAAGGGTTACTTGTGTGTCCACAACTGACTAGACATTGTTAAACTCATGCACCTACTCACTGTCTGGTGCTTGAAGGTGTATTTGTATACTATTCTAACTGAAAAGATTACATAATCAAATGGGTGCATAATTTATTCAGTTCAATACTTTGATCTAAAATATTACTCGTTTCACTCTTGTTTCATCTAATTGAGTAAATTTTCCTTCCCTTAGTAGACATTTATTTTGTGAACATCAGTTGGAAGATTCATAAGTTCTCTTTTCTATTTCAAAGAAAATCAATGAGAATATCAATTAACAAGAGCTTGGTGATGATTTCATCATCTGATGGTAAACTAATCATTTACTTTTTTATTTAAGAAAGAAATCCATTTAAATTGGTCTCCCAATCTTCTAATTATATTAGTGACAAATTGAGACATTCTGTGGTTGTGTATTCTCTTTCATAGAAAGATAAATTGATAGGGCATATAAATTATTTGATCTGTAATTATATTTTAATGGGCAGCGGTCTCTGTGATATCTCTTCTGACTTAATGGTCACAGTGATCATTGGGTTGAAGAGTCATAAATTTCTGTGAAGTCTCAATCAGGTGTCCTACATAGATAGTGGAACCTGCATGCAAAGATGTGGCTTTATGTATTCAAACATGTGACTTTAAACACTGAAATATGTGACCTTAATTATTTTTCTTACATGGATCTATATCCAGTGTGTCAGTACAAGTCTTCATTTGTTGCCAACAGCAGGAGTATTAGATTAAGTTAGGTTAAGGAATTCTCTGATGATTTTTTTAAGAAGTAATGTTGGGACAACTATGTTCCTGAAGAAAGAATTTAAACTGCAAAGTGCTTATATTTAGGGTAAAGTTAAGGTGCTCAAATCACCCCAGTTTTTTTTTTCTTTCCTTTTCCACTGTGGTATTTGCCTACTAACTCTTTATTGCCTTTAAAGTAAAGTAAGTAAAAGACCAAAAACAAAAAAACAAAAAAAAAGATAAAGAAAATAACTTATATTAGTTCTCTATTGTCCTCTGTTATCTGCCAAAGCACATTTTGGAATGTGTAAGGTAATTGTTTATGTGCAATGCTTAATCTAATCTAGTATAAATCTTTGGTTTTATTTTGTACTAGTTCTTGTTTTTGGTCAAGAAAAAATAGAATCATGTGAATTTCTCACTCTTAATTGTAGAGGAGCTGATAAACTACAAGACTTTAGTTGTTTGCCCAAGTATTGCGCAGTGCGCTTGTTCTAGCTCTGGGCACTCTGGGTGCATTGAGTGTCTGAGGCTGCTGATTTGAGAGGCACAACATATATTGCATTCAACCCCGACGCAAGGTGATTTGCTCCTAATCACAGTCACGGTTTTTGTCTTATACCAGCAGCCTCAAACACCCAAGGCAACTATTTGTGAAGACACACCTTTTCTTGCAATTGTTTCTGTAAAAGATGTGGGTGCATTTGTGTTTTTAAATTTGCATCAAAATGCAAAGTTTCAACAGTTTTATTGAAACCTGTTCCTCATACTTGAAGTATTATGGGGGTCTTAAGTACTACAATTTAGGTGAGCCCCTTGATATCATGTCTCATGTTTCCCTGTTGTAGACATTCTATGACTGTAGTAGGGCATTAGTCAATTTCTCTTCAGCCCAGCTAGTCGTTTTAGTTATGCTCTGTAGCTCTGAAGCAATTATACAATTATTTAAGCTGTTAATGGATAGTAATTGGGTAAACTTGATGGAATAACTATATTTTGGTTACTGTAATGTTATTAAAAAAACTGCTAATGTGATAAAACTATTGTTAAAAGAAAAATAGATTGCATTTGTATAAGATTGATTTTAACATCTCAACTGTTGCTGATATTTCTAAATCACCATCTTGATTGAGCGAACCATTGATTGGCTGAACCAAGGAAGAAATATCTTTCCCTGGTTTGGCAAAACTGCAGTTGACGTGTTAAAATTTTGGCTCGTGGTTCTCTCGTACCTACTCCACATTACATGAACCTTGATCATCCACTTAAAATTGTAGCAATTGTGATGTGAATATCTCAAAGTTCTGAATCACATCAACAGAAGCAGGGTGTTGAACCAGATTGTCTTAAATCAATCTTTTATGTAAGGCCTCACCCTTCTTGCTTTTGAGTGATTTTGGTCTTTGGAGACAGGTAGTTTAAGAGAGATCACATCGAGTTTTTTGTAGTTTAAAAAAAATACATCAACAAATGTTATTTATTTAACAGCACTTGTGTACAAATAGACAATCTCTCTTTGAATGCAGATGATTGTCAAACTATAAAATTCATAGAATACCTAATTAAAGTTTAAATCTTAAGACTGAAACTTAATTTCACTGAATCAGAGCATGCGAACACTTCTTTAATAATATTTCAATGAAGATCATTCTAAATGAACCAAGGTGCTTCCTATGGAGAACACATTTCAATGTATAATATAGTGCTTCACCATCCCCTGTTATTGAAATCTTATGAAGGCTGTTCTGTAGAAGTGCTTTGTCTGAACTGACCATCGTGTGCATGAATGTTACAAGCAATAAATACCTTCTTTTAAATGTAAATTTGCATTATCAGCTTCGTTACCCCATTACTTACTACGAATTTATCGAATTAAGGCCATCTTTTGTCTGTCTGCACATCCTTGCGGCCATTCCCCACCTCCCACTGCTCCCACTCCCACCCTTCCCCCTCAATCTTATCTTCCCCACTGCAGATAATCCTCCAACCCAATTCCTCCCCCTCCTTCCTTCCTGAGACCGCGACTGTCGCGCCTGTGCTGCCTGCCCCTGCGAACACGGGCGCAGCTGATGGGGTGACGTGCAGCCTGAACCGTTTGCCGCCTCTTTCTCTCTCTCCCTTCATTGAATGGAGGAGGGAGCAGCCCTGGGTGAAGGATGGGAGAAAGTTGGGAATTGGGGCAAATCGGGAAGCGGGAAGTGGACTGGAGTGTGCTGCGCTCGGCTCGGCTCGGCTCGCCCAGCCCGGTGGTGGTGGAGACAGAGAGGGGGGTGTGGCGCGGCGTAGCTCGCCAGCTGGAGCGGTGGGGGGGTCGATAATGCTCAGAAGTGGGGGTGGGTGCAAGCGCCGGCAAGGGGATGGCGGGTAAGAGAGAGAGCCCGCCCCGCCGCATGAGAGCGAGCGAGAGGGGTGGGGGGGGGGGGGCAAGATAGAGAGAGAGAAAGACGAGGCTGGGGAGGGGGCGAGAGGGAAATAAATACCGGCATGCGTAACCCAGTTTCTCGCTGGGAACAGGCGGCAGAGGCGGGCCGGGCCGGGCAGGCGCGCTCCGGCGCCCCCACCCCCCCATTTTCCTCCCCTTCCGCAGTGCACGGCTGTGCTCTGCCGAGCTGGGGGTGCCGTGTTGCTGGGTTCCCCGGGAGCGGGGGGGGGGGGGGGGCAGCAGCTGCTGCTGTTGGTGTTCCGCCGTCCTGCCTGCCGAACAGTAGCAGTATAGTGAAGCGTGGGGGGGTGCAGAGCAGAGCGGCGCGCTGGCTGTGAGCTCGGAGAGAGAGAAATAGAGAGAGAACCGCACAGAGCAGCGTGGAGCAGCACGTCTAGCGGGGTCGAGACGAACGGAACAAAGCGAGTAGGACGGAACAGAGCGGGAGAGGACCGCGCCACCACCAGAACCACGCCTCCCCCGACCCACCCCTTAAGCCCGTTCGGGACGCGGACACCCGGCTAAGCCAGTGTCACCATTGGCTGTCAGGCTTTTGGTCGCTTTGTCGCTCGGGAGCGGAGCGTCGGCTCATCCCCCCTCCCCCTCCGGCCCTTTCCCCCCAACATTCTTCCCCTCCACTCCACATAACTCTCAACCCCTCAGACCAAGAGCGCCCGCCCACCATAGCAGATTCCAAATGGAAAATAGGAAAGCTTTGGAGGACTCGGAGCAGGGAGGAGCCGAGAATGGCAAAGGGGCATTTCAGAAGGAAGAGCGTCGAAACGCCTGCAGCCCTGGCCGGGTCCGGGGGGGCCCGCGGGGGGTTGCGTGGCGGGCACGGGCGCGCCAGGCCAGGCCAGGGCTCGCCGCGCAACCCCCACAGGCAGGGAGCCGGGCCGGGCTGGGCCGGGCTGGGCCGGGCCAGCGGGGAGCAGACGTGACCCATTCACAGCCGACACGAGCGACGTCGACAACTGACCCACTTTCCACTGCGGGACGCGACGCGACGCGGAGGCATATCGTCGTTTGATGCGATTCAATTAGGACTCCGGTGGTGGCTCATTCTATTGATCCGGCGTCATGCACGGCGTGGCGTGGCGGGGCGGGGCGGGGCGGGGCGGGGCGCGTCGAACGGGTTCGAGGAGGGCCGACTCATTTCCGCCGAGGAGCGCGAGGGCAGGGAGGGTGAGAGGGAGGAACATTGACAGCGCCATCAGAAATATGACAATCCTGTCGTGATTACTGGAGGCGAAGTCGGACAGTACAATACAATGCGACCCCCTCCCCTCCTACCGCCTCATCTCCTTTCCCGCTCAAGAAAGTATCGTCCTCTCCTCTCTACTCGCTCACAATATCTCTTCTGCCACACCCCAGTCCCTTTCACCCCCTCCCCTCCTGCCTTCCATTTCATTTTCCCCCTCCTTACCGGCCATCCCTTTTCTGAAACACCCCGCTCGACATGTCTTCCCTCTCCGCATCCCCCCCCCTTCCTCCCCGCTCACCCTTCTCTTTCGCCGGCGTCCCGCGGCGCCTTCGCTTCTCCGCGCGCCAAAACTACCCCTCGACTTCCCCGGCCCCTCTCGGCCGGCCCCTCCCCCTCACCTGGCCGCCTCCCGGCCGCCCCGGCCGCCCCGGCCCCCCGCCGTACGCACCGCCCCCCTCACCCCCTGGCGGGCCCTGCGCAAAGCCCCGCCGCGCCGCTCCGCGCCACGCCGCGCCGCCCTCAGTGCAGCGTCGACCGCGGCGCGGGGAGGACCACGGTGCCAGCGAGGCGCGCGGCCTGGGCGACGCGACGCGACGGCGCGGCGGCAACCCGGAACCTCCCCCGGCCCCCGGCCCCCCGGCCCCTCACCGCGTCCTGACGGCAGAGTGCGTGGCGCGGCGTGGCGCGGCGGGCAGATGCGGGCCACGGGCGGCGAGGGGCTGCAGCCGATGCAGCGGTAGCGGCTGTGCGATGCAACATGGCGGAGGACTGCGGCGGCGCCTACGGCGGTAGAGGCAGAGGCCCGCGCCCCCGGGGCCCCGGCCTCTGAAATGCAGCTAGGGCTGCTGCAGCTGCGGCCTGCAGACGAGCTCGCGGCGCAGGCGCTGCACGCCGTGCCCGCGGTCGTGGCCATGGAGCCCACCAGTTCCGCCCCGAGTCCAGGCCTCAGTCCCGGCCTCAGTCCCGGCCTCAGCCCTGGACTCAGCCCCGGGCTCAGCCCCGGACTAAGTTCAGAACTCAGCCCTGGACTCAGCCCTTCGGGGATCAACTCGGTGTCCGGGCCCGACAGCCCGGGACTGGGCTCCGTCACGGGCAGCTTCACTCAGCATGGATTTACGAGGTAAACAATGGCGGCAACACGAGGGTGTCCGACTCGTGCATGCATAAGGGGGGGGAGGAGCGACGACTCGAGGGACAGCGACTGCACATCAGGGAGACAGGGCAGAGACTGTCGACCTAAGTCTTTTGTACCATCACAGCGCTCAGCGAACGACGCGCAACGCCGCGCCGCACCGTGCACACTGCATCGATCAGAAACGCCTCTCTTCCCGTCCCGCGCGCTCCACTTCACGCCTGCCCTGCAACCCTCCTCGTGCACTGTCGCCGCCGCCGCTTCAATGGCCTCTACCCTCTACCCCTGCTCTCTCTCTCTCCCGTAGACTCTCTCTCCCCGGCCAGCCCCTTCCTCTGCGCTGCTGTATATGCACCCGGCTGGATGCACAGAGGCTTCCACTTCACCACCGCCGCCGCCGCCGCCCCTTTCCCCGTCTTTACGACCACCCCTTCCTGTCTGCGCGACCACTTCCACTTCCCTCCACCACCCTCCCCCTCCCCGGTGTTCCGGCGCGCAATGTGGAGCAAGGTCACACGCTGGTGCATTCGAAATGCACGTCTGGCCTGGCCCCGCTCTACCGCCACCACTCTCTCACTCACTTTGCCCCCTCCCCCTGTCTGTACTTCGCTGCTCCTACCAGGACCATATGACTATCGAAAGAGCCCTTCTGCATTTCGGTATAATTTTCCTTTCACAAAATCGCGATAATTTTCTGATACCCTTTATGTTTGACTTTTGAAGATAAACAATTCATTAAATTTTGATAGAGTTGAAAACGACAATAATACAAAAGCAACATTGCGTATAGAACAGAACTTCAATATTGTTTCGGAGGTTTTACTGAGCTTAGCCAGTAGTCAGAAAGGACTCGAGCAACGCGCTTAGACGCTTAGCCATTCAGTTCAGCCATCATCGAAGCGTTTATGCGGAACCGCGCTTTTAAAAGTCGGGAGCAGAAACCATAGCTGGATGCTTGCAAGTAAAGGAAATCCCAGGAAATAGTTTTTTTTAAATAGATGTTGATCCGCTGCTGAGCGACGATCAGCGCTCAGCACTCACACCGGCCTTTCCTACATTACGCGATGGCCGGGCTCGGCTGGAGGACGCCGCGCGGCGCGCGGAGCGAAGCGGGGCAGAGCGGCCGGGTGCCGAGCTGCCGAAAGTAGGTCACGAAATCGGCGTGCGTGGGGAGGGGGATGGGGCTGAGAGGGGTCTGCAGGGGGC